TAGTGACACTTAAGACTACAGGGTATCGTCACAGTATAAAGAGGTTCCACAGTGAAACTACTCGTCTGTTCCTACGAGAGATAATGAGGTATGACGCTTTCCACAGATGGAAGCACAAAAGACCAAAACAACAAATATTAGATTAACGCAAAACCAGAGGGAAAAATAAAAAACCCCCCAATAGGGACAAAATATTACAAAAAGCCCAGCGTGAGAAGAAAATCCAATCAAAACACACACACATAAAGAAGACAGTTCGTAGCTCAAATCACCCAGAATATCGCAAATCGCCTCATCCACAGTGGGCCCTGTTGCTCACACTAGGATACAGTCTACATTGTGGTAATGTATAATATTTAAATATTTTCTTTATTATAGTGTAGACTATGTACTAATTATGACTTTTCTGTTCACAGGTGACCTACAAAAAAAATCACAAAAAACACAAAACACGGCTTCGGCCACCAAAAAAAAAATCAAAAAAATACTAACAAAAACCGGCTTCGGCCACCAAAAAAAATTAACAAAAACCCCAAAACCCGGGCACGTAGGGCCCAACCCCCTTGAGCACCAAGTCGCCGAACTGAGCCGGGACTCAGAGCGGAGACTTGAGGCCCAAGTAAGCAATTTTAGTTCGCGGATAAGCTACATTAAGATAAACAGGAATAAAGCGGAGATGCGCTGTCCTGAGTTTTCACATACGGTTAGGAAACCATGTTGGGGTTCAATTACCCAGGACCTCCACATGAAGAGCACTTGGCTGATTGTTGTGCCTCTATAGCGAATCAGATTGCTATAGGGGGGAAAGGGATGGTCTAGAGCATTGGAGCACGGTGGGGTGATTCCTGTTTTTAAACACGAATTAAAACACCTTGCTCCAATGAATTGTTACACCCGATCGTACTACCTGGGTGAACATTTCTCATAGGCTGGGTTCAATCAAATTGCTTGCTTGCTACTCGTCTGTCGGCACTTTGATCTCAGGAAGTAATACCGGCAAAGTACGAAATTGGTAATCCACCACCGTTAACCTTACAGAGCCGTATTAAAATTTTCTGAGCCTACTACTATTAATTTATTTAAATAAAAAATGCGGCTTCCCATATTTAACTGTCCAGATGTTCTCACTAAATGTTAATATTACAAAAACAAAGGGTTTAATAAATTAAAAACAATATTATAATTCATTGTTTATATTTTTCAACTGTATTTTAAATATCAACGGTATTGCGCAAGTTTTAAAATCTCAATGGTTTTTAATATATTGTACATGTCATATATAAACGTTAAATAAAAAGGAGGTTAATTTCGAAGCTCTCACGGCATCGGCATTACTATACTCTGTTTTTAAACCAGGAGGAGTAATTCAAGTTTACCGCGTCATAACGCTTGTTTATAATTCGTCCAACGGCAGGCAAGTTTACTCCACTGTTATGAAATTTTGACATTTATGAAATTTTGTCCTTATTTTCATTTCGTAGGTGAATTTGGCTATATCGGCGATTTTTTGTGTTTTCTGCATTATTCGTTTAGTTTTAGTTGTAGTCTGCAAAAAATTAATTAAATTTTGCAATAGTCTTTTCGTCAAATCAATCGCGTAATGTTCAAGAATACATCAATTAAAATTCAAACTGCTGAAAAGATGTTTTGTGGTGATTTTTAGCCACAAATTTAAATAAAAAAAATTCTCTTCGTCTTTCTTATTTTTAACAATTTCAACAATTTTTTAATAAAATAAACGAATATCAACTATTCTAATTCGGAAATAAGCTACAATTTAACTTGAAAAAATAATTTTATTAACGTTTCGTCTTCCAAGTCAGACGTCGTTGTCAAAATACAAAAATAAATTATTATTTTGTATTTTGACAACGACGTCCGAATTGGAAGTCGAAACGGTAATAAAATTATTTTTTTTCAAGTTAAATTGTGTCCTAGTAAGGACGTGAGGAGTCAGATCAACAAAGCATCTGCATTGTCAGGATGTCTGCCAGAGATAGTCTAGTCAAATCCATTTTTAAACTATAAGTAAATACAGTGATCAAAGGAGAATGAGTTGATGCGTTTTTAAGAAAATTATGTCCAGTGTTATCTATTACACAATATTATCCACTTTCAGTAACATTTAGGTTGTATGAATTAGAAATCAGTCTTAAGAATAAGAAAAATACTTCGCCGGGAATAGGAATATATGTACGTTATATTATGTTGAAAAATTTATATCAAAATAGAAAAAGAACACTATTAATTTTTTTTAAATCAAGAACAAATCAAATCAGAAGATATTTCAGATAGTTGGAGAGAGTACCGGGTGATTCCTATTCTCCTTCTAAAAAAATGAGGAACTTGGACAATATATGGCAAAATAGCTCTTGAAATAAATATAGAGCTGCATAAGAGTTTATTGTATTATAGAAGAAGCAATTATCAAAAAAGTACATTATAAAACTAAATTATGAATTACTTAACTAACTTAATTATCAAAAAATATAAAAAGGATTATTTATTAGAAATTAATGTTAGTATTAGTTTACGCATAAAATTGTATACAAAACATGACTTATAAGTAAAAACAAAAATTAAAAATTGAGAATGTATTTAGTGTCCGCAGTTATATAAACCCAAACAAACATAACACGTTTTAAAGCTAATTATGTTTCCAACTTATTTATTTCCTATGTCCTTTTGTCTTAGATACTTTAAAATTTCTATTAATTATTTTTAATGTGTAATATATTCTTATTCTAGCCTATAATCTAATGAGATAGCCCTTTGGAAAATTGCTGCAAGGATGCGTATATGGTATTTTTTCGAATAAGCTAACGTAGTTTTGTAAGATTTTCGGTTGATGACTAAAATTTTGAAAATTCTCTTGAAAAATAATTTCCAAATCTGTAACATACTGCACAAAATTTTGGCTCGGCATATAGAGCTTGCCAAAAACGTTTGTTTCATTACCACTGTAGGCTTTAACGTAACAAAACAGAGACGAATCGTATAGTTCATCGTACTCTCTCCCATATGCTTCACAGATTAGACAAACATGTTTCCTAAGACTTATATATATATATATATATATATATATATAAATAATATATATATATATAATATATATATATATATATATATGTATATATATATATATATATATATATATATATATATATATATATATATACATCACATATACATATATATCTTGTGAAGTTTTTCTATAATTTATTTGAAGTTTGATATTTTTGGTCATCCAAAGTGTTTTCAGGAACCAAAGCAGTGGTTTCAGGCAGATAATCGTCGGTACATATATCGGTTAAATTTAACAAAATATGGCCTGCATCTCTTTCGCAATTTTCTGTACCGGAATGCATCATGTCTAAACAAAAATATCTTTTGAATGCTGCGGTAAATTATACCGGAGTAGGGTTAACACAATTGCCACCTTGCTGTCTGATTGAACCAAAAAAGGTTTCTAACCAATCTTGATTCATCCGCCTTGTTAAAAAATAATCCATTCCATGTGACTGTAGTAGATTCCACAAATGAATCACTCCATTAATGGTTATTTTCCAACCATTAACATATTTTATTCTTGGTGTTACATTTTTAGCTTTAAAATTAATTACCTGTAAATTATTAAACAATCGGAAACACGCATTAAGAAATTCTTGCTAAGCATCGGTTCCTCTATACGGTCTTTGGTACTCAGTTAATTGAGCATATCAAATAAATTATTAATGTTCCTAATAAATATTTCGGTTGTTGTTGCTTCCTCGACGAATACAATAAATCTAATATACAGATGCAGACCGGCAGCAACAGTGTTACTAAATATCTGAGAAGCATATTTCACTTTCATATTTTCAAAATTGTTAGGAGATATATGTAATTCGGTCAATTTTGGCGCTGTACGTATAGGATATTGTTTATAATGTTCGTAAAATTTTTTAATATATTCCCAAGAAACGATAATATCACCAATAACAAATTTGTTTCTTAGGAAGTTATTATGAAGTGCTCTTAATAAATGAGGTGTATCAAAAGAAAAGACAATTTTATTATTTTCATGATAAAAATATGGTCTATCGGCAGATATATTTAACAAATTTGGAAGTTTAAGATTATTAGTACCACTTCGAATTTTACTCATGTTCAACTTCACAATACTAACAATTATTCACAAAACTAACTCAGTTTAAGCAAAATACGGCACTGTTAACCCGTACGTTTCTACGCGACTAGCAACGGAAGAATGGTTCTCGAGCGACTAAGAAATAAGCGCAGTCGCTCTGCGCGTTGACAGACTTTACTTCCAATTTTTCAGAGAGTGGTTCTACTGTGGAACCTCTTTATACTGTGGTATCGTCGTATTTCACGTTCATTTACTGGAATATGGAAGGATCTTCTATTAATTCATCACAATCTTCTAAAAACTAAAAATTACAAAGAATTATAAAGGATCTACGTGCAATCCAAGTGCTTAAAAAACATTGAATAAGGAAGGACTAGCTTCCCCCTCTTTTTTTGAATTTATTACTATTTTGCAGCAAAGGTAATAAATTAAAACATTTTTAACCAGTCTTATCTTAAAGAAAATTCAATTATTGCTATTTTATTTCCTTACAACTTCGCTCCAAAATAAATTCTTTTAAATGTGTTTAGTAATTTTTAAATATTTTAATTTTTTAACGACCTCTTTGAGAGGGAGATAAGTCTTATTACTGAAGTTATCAAATAACTTTTTCTGCAAAAATCAGAATGCCACCTCTCACGTCCAAATTTAGTAGTTATTTTATAGATTTTCCCTGGTCTATTCATAAATTCTATTATTACTTAGTGCTCAGTTACTCACGATGATTTTTTATTGGTTAATATTTATGTAATAATTTAAATACAAATAAATAATTTTTTTCGCATTCTGACCAAAACACTATTAAAAGGAATATTCTAGTTATCATTCTGTTCAAAAGCAATAAATTAACAAAAACACTATTTTGTTACAGGTTCTACGCATTATTAGTGAGCCAGTTGTTGCTGCCATTGCCTATGGTTTTGACAAAAGGGGACAAGGTGAAAGAAATGTCCTAATTTTCGATCTGGGTGGTGGTACCACTAATGTATCGATTTTAACCATTGAAGATGGAATCTTTGAAGTCCGATCAATCGCTGGAGACAATAATTTGGGAGGTGAAGACTTCGATAACAGAATGGTCAACTACTTCATCGAAGAATTCAGGGGAAAATACAAAAAAAATCTCACCACAAACAAACGTGCCCTTTGTCGTTTAAGAACAAGCTGTGTAAGAGCTAAGCGAACTCTTTCCTCATTGAACCACGCTACCATTGAAATTGATTCTCTATTTGAGGGTATTGACTTCTACACCTCAATTACCAGAGCTAAATTTGAAGAACTTAATGCTGATTTGTTCAAATCCACTATGAAACCGGTAGAAAGGGCCATCAAGGATGCCAACATGGACATATCACAAGTGCACGATATTGTATTGGTTGGTGGATCTACCAGTATTCCAAAGGTACAAAATCTTTTGCAAGATTTCTTTAATTGTAAAAAATTGAAAAAGTCAATTATTCCTGATGAAGCAGTTGCTTATGGTGCAGCCATCCAGGCTGCTATCTTACACGGCGATAAGTCTGAGGAAGTACAAGATTTATTGTTGCTCGATGTCACTTCATTGTCACTGGGTATTGAAACTGCTGGAGGTGTTATGACTGGCATTGTCAAACGGAACACCACTAGTCCCACCAAGCAAACTCAGACGTTCACTACTTGCTCTGACAACCAATCCGGAGTACTTATTCAGGTTAGTAATACAATGAAATTATCAATATTATGAAACTTTGTAAGCATTGATTTAAAATGATGATCCACTCAACTCGCATTGATACAGAAATGACGAATCAATTATCTTCCTAATCTCAACGCAAAAATCACGTAATCTAAATAAACTAATGTACCATGCAAATTCTTTGACTAACTCATTTTTGAGCAAATTTTAACTCACTTATTTTTTTTGTCAGGTATATGAAGGTGAACATGCCCTGACCAAGGACAACAATCTCTTATGTAAACTCGAACTTACCGGCATCCCTCCAGCGCCTCGAGGTGTCCCTCAGATCGAAGTAACCTTTGACATTGATGCCAATAGTATCTTGAACGTCGGAGTTATTGAAAAATCGACTAACAAAGAAAACAAGTGTACCATCAACACTCATAAAGGTCGTCTCCATATAGAATACATTGAAAGAATCAAGAGCATCATGGAATATGGCAAGATCAGCGAAAACGACAAAAACACCATTATGGAGAAATGTAATGAGGTTGCTATTTGCTTGGATGTAAATCAATTTGCTGAGAAAGACACATTTGAACACAAAGAAAATAGCTCGCAAGCACCTACAACCTCATCATCACCAAGTTGTACCAATTTGCCGGTAGAGGTCCAAGAGCTGCAGACGTTGCCCGAGTTCCTGGACCAATCATTGAAGAAAGGAAACGTATTCATGATGGCAGTGGTACATAAACACCATCCCGATACTCAATTAGATCAGGTTCAAGCAGACCTGATCATCAGCAAACTGGAACGAGCAGTGGATGAGGCTCCTATTATAAGTCAGAATCGCCAAGTTCTTTTGCAGTTCCACAAAATATTGTTTATCGCAGGGACCCTGTGGATGACCTGTGCTAATGCGTACACAAAAAAATGGACTACTGAGGTGGTGAGGACTATGGAGGACTTGTGGGAGGGAGCAGAATTAAATGTGGTCGACCGCAATAACATGTCTAAGCAACCCATGGTCCTCACCCGCATCCCCGACAAAAAGGCTGATGAAGCAACTATCAGGACCCGTCTAAGAAAACAAAATCAATACCTAAAGACAAAAGATTGGTTGTTGGAAGAACGGAAAATCGAGGAGGACGTGCAAATCCTAGTCTACACGATCGACGAGGTCTCTTATAAAGCATTGATGGCTGCTCATTTCAATGCATATTACAAACTTGGAAAGGTATCGTTCACAACCATCAGAGGTCTAGATGGTTCCAATCAGAGTCCTGCAGGCACACCTCCAGCATAATAAGGCAGCTTAAAAATTAGTTTTAAAATTTCGTAGTATTAGTTCATTTTCATGACAGTCAGAGTTCTATATTTACACCAAATAAAATGGCGTTGATAGACTTTGTAAATACTAATCTTTCCATGTGTAAATAAATACATTTAAAATGGGACGTCATAGGAATCAGTGAAGTAAGACGGAAAAATGAGCTATTGGAATTAGCGTCAGGAAACGCATTCTACTGCCGAGACACAACAACAGTAACATAAATAAAGCATTAAATAACAATAAAAGTCATTTCAAGTATTTAATTGGTGACTTTAATATCAAAGTGGGAAAGAGAAACTACAAGTAACGAGTCGTGGGAAAGTATGGAGTCGGTGGTAGAAATGAGAGGGGATAAAGGCTGGTTCAGTTTGGACTCTACCAAAGTATACCTACCAATTGCAAATACATTGTTAAAGAAAAAATCAAACAGGACTTGGGTAGCTACAAATGGAATCAACAAGAACGAAATTGACTTCATTCTAACCAACAAGATGTCAGTGTAATAAATAAATAAATTTCAAACAGGCAGCTACCATAGACTAATCAGAGCAAAAATTGTTCTGGATCTGAAACTAGAAAGAATAAAATTAATTAAAATACCAAGAGTAACCGACATAAATATTAACAATCTAAAAGAAAACTCAGATCACTACCAAAGGAGGAATAATGAAAGAATACATGACCAAATCGACAGCTCCAATTAATGGAAATCATCCTTGATAGTGCCAAAAAAATCGAAGGCCCGTAACAACAAAACCAACATAGTAAACTGTCTGATAAAACTAAAATATTGCTAAAACAAAGTAGGGAAATGAAAGTAGGCAGCAACATACAGAGAATACAATTTACAGAACTTTGCAAGACAATAAAGAAAGTAGTAAATAAATAAATAAATAAATAAGTAATAGCTTTATTACCCAACAGTTTCCCATTTCTAGAGTAAAAATTTGAGATACATTTTTAATTAGTATACAATCATCAGTAGGTAATACAAAAATATCAAGTAAAAAATAAGTGCAACAAATAAGTAGGTGAAAAACAAAATAAAGAGTGAGAACAATATAATTAAACAAATCACTACGTATATAAGAAATAAAGATATACACAAAAAAAAAATTAACAATCTAATGTACTCCATAAACCAGTGCGGTATCAACCAGATGATTAATTGAGCATGAGAAAATATCACAATGGTTGCATATTTTGTTATAATTATCGCACATAATATAAATGGGTAACTTCAGTAACATATTAAATATTGTTCTCGCACGTGGACAAGTAAACACGATAGTCGACCTGGAAGTAATTCTTGGCACAATAAATCTTATTTGACCTAATATATCATTGAATGAAACCGAAAATATAATTCTTCTTAACTCTAAACTTACAATATTAAAGCTGTTACATAACAAATCGTAATCATAACCATAGACAGGATATATACTCCATCAACCTTAAATGCTAAATATTTTAAAAGTTTCCGTTGTACCTTTTCAATCTGTTGCAATGTAACATTTATAAATGGGATACCAAATTAAGCTACAATATTCTAGTTTTGTTCGCACCAGCGATGGATACAGCAGTTTAATCGGTCTTATATCACTAAAATTTCTACAGTTTCTGATGATAAACCGTACATTTTCATAGCATCGGATACTTTCTGCTCAATATGGTTGTTAAAGGTTAATTTTGAATCAAATGTAACTCCTAAATCTTTAATTCTATTACATTTTTCAAGATCTGACCCCTGATTTACATAATTAAAATCAACCTTATTTTCCTTTCTAGAATAACTTACTACTTTACACTTATTGACATTAAGAAAAAGTTTGTTTTTTACACACCAAGTTTCTATAATTTAGATCGTTCTGTAAATCTATACAGTTAGCAATTGTTTTAATTTCACAGTATATCTTAAGATCATCCGCAAAACATAATTTTCTGTTGATTGATTGATATCTAAAAATAAATCATTCATATATAATAGGAACAACAATGGACCTAAATTTGATCCCTGTGGAACACCGGATGTAGTAAAGATTAATTCTGATATGAAACCATTATAGGATACAAATTATTTCCTGCCTATTAAATAGCTTTCAAGTAACTTTAGAATCTTTCCAGCAAATCCCAAATTTGATAATTAAAGAGAAGGTATTTGTGATCAACTTTATCAAACGCTTTAGAATCCAAAACATCTGAAATATATTGAGTTATTACAGCTAAGTTTGATACAGTAGAGCGTTTATCTATAAGGCCATGTTGATAAGGTGATATCCATCCCCTAACAGAAGGGTAAATACGATTATATAGAGTTACTTCGAAAACCTTTGAAAAATTGGATAACAAAGATACCAGTCTGTAATTGGATACATCAGATTTCGTTCTGTGTTTGAATACAGGCCATATTTTTACATTTTTTCCATAATTCGGGGCAAGTTACCGTTTTTATTGATAAGTTACAAATTTTTTGAACTGGCTTTACAAATACCCCTGAACAATCTTTCGCTAAAAATGCTGGAATATTATCTGGTCCGGACGTAATTTTATTTTTAATTCTTTTAAATGCTACTAAAATTTTGTTTTCTTGAAATTCATTAAAATTAATAGTGGGTAAGTAGATATCCCTACATTCTTGATTATCAAATACATTGTTGTCAACAGGTAAATAAACTTTTTCAAAAAACATCTTAAAAGTATGGATTATATCGCGAGGATTATTAAATGTATCGCCGTTGTAACACATTTCACCTTGGATTCTAGAAGTTTTATTCTTTGCATGAACATATGCCCAGAAATTATTAGATTCGTTAGAAATACTATTCTGAATTTTTTCAAGATAAACGTTATATTGAGTTTTAATTATTTGTTTTATTATTTTTCGCAACCTTTTAAATCCATGCATATAAAGTATATTACCTGTTTTCTTATAATTTGTGATATTTTTTTTATTTCAACTTTATCATTCTAATTATTTCCGCATTGTACCATGTAGGATATTGATGTTTATAATTTCTGTATATTGGTACACACATATCAAATAATTCATATATCTTAGCATAAAATAATTCTAGGACTGTATTAACATCATCGGACATATCTAAAAAATTCCAGTCGCTATTAAGAAATTCTGAGTACAGTGAAGGAAAATTTGCTTTTTTAAGATTATATCTTTTAGTTTTAGAATGAGCCACAAAACTGGTTTCCTTTTTCTGAAAATCATTAATATTTATCTTTAATGCTAAATGATGTAAATCTTCTTAAACAAGCGGTGCATCATTGCGACTTACATGACACATAATATGATGATATAACTAAGTCTAACAATCGATTTAAATTATTTCCCGCCTGATCATACTGATTTAAATTAAACAAACACATGAAGTCTAACACTGCCGATGTTCGCCCACTAGAATAACAGTGTCATTAAATAATTCAAGTTGCTCTAATATTTCAAAAAAATATTCAAAATCATTTAACTTTAATTTGTCAGGAATATATAATAGTACAACATAAAACTTTTTATTTCCTGTGCGAAACTCAACAACCAACAAATCAACTAGTGGAAAATGTAAATCAAATGTTGAGACATCAACAACAACACACTTAAAAATTGACTTAAGTGCCAACAGTACACCTCCACTAGTCGATTTAATAACTACATCGAACTTTCGAACTTTTCTAAAAACTTGATAGTCATCATTAAACAATTCGGAACTAATAACATCAGAGTTGAGCCAAGTCTCAATTAGAGCAATGACATCAAATTCACATTCACTAACACTAGAGTACAAATCAATTACTTTGAAATTCAAACCATGCACATTCTGATAGTAAACCTGAAGATCTTGGCTTGTGAAGTTGTTGGGACCTATCTGTTTAAAGGAACAATTTTTGGGATGCCATCCAAATATTTAATTCTAAATTGTCCTGTATTGTTAGCGTTCTTTGCTTATAATTCTTCCTTTAATTGTTTGTAGTATGCAATTTCTTTTTTCGTACGGTCATATGAAATTAACACATGGCTGTAGATACCAGTTTTTACAACCTTGGATTGTCTGATTAATGCTGAGACGTCATTTTCATCCTTAAGTGTAATCTTGATCGGACGGTTTTTAACTAGTGCTGGTTGTCCAAGCCTAAATATTTTGAGTTCATTGACATTCACGCTAGTATTCATACTTTGAATTATTGTTTGGACTTCCTGTGTATCATTATCATTGCGACTATTGGGAGGAGCTGAGTATTTTGCTCAGGTACAACAAATAAAATAGCATTGCGTTTGCGTTTTCTACGCTCATTGATTTCCTGAATGACTTCTTCCATAACCAACATGGTTGAAGAATTCTTCATTGATTAGTTTTCATTTTTAAGTGCTTGAATATCAGTTTGTAAAGTTAAAATTAATGTTTTTAGATCTTTTATTTGGTTCCCAACCTGTCTACAACTCATACAGGACCAATCGAATCCTTTATCATTATTATTCAACAATTCCAGTTCTACATTACTAACATTCACACAGGTATGTCTGAAAATTCTATGTCAAACGGAACATTTTATCATTAAATTCGATTTATACGATTTACTACAGCAGGAACAAATCATATTCGAGGTCGAAGGCATGATAAAAACCGTTGAAGATACGCCTATGTATTTATACAGTAATTAAGAATTCTCGTTGTTGTTATTATTATCTTAATTGGTGTTATAATTGTAGGTTAGGACGTATAAATACTAAAAATTGACTAAAAATTCTATCAAACACTACTTTTAGGAAGATAAATTTATTACTGTTTATGCCCGTATATTTAACTGCAAATATTTTTGTAGCTTCACAATCACTTTCACCTCATTACACGAGTTTTTTTTTTAAATGATAACAGTACCTAGAAAACACCTTCGCACTGGTCGGCTTCTAATGACTGAATTAAGTATTAAGGAAGACATAAGAAAATACAATGAAAACTGGTAGAAAATGCAATCGAAAACAGGAAAAACTATAAGAAAACAAGAAAAGCATTAATCATTGGGAAGAAGGAAATGGTTGCTCTAACAAACGAAAACACCAGAATTACAGACAGAAATGAAATAATACAACTCATAACTAAATTCTACAGCGAACTATACAAAGCCCCTAACACACTTGAAGAAGTAATCAGTAACCAAGAAGATGTACCAGAAGTAGTTCCGGAAGAAGTAGAATCGACAAATTGCAAAAATTAAAAGCGGTAAAGCAGCTGAAATAGATGGTATAATAGCAGTATAATAGTGAACCTGCTTAAATATGCTGGCAATAAAACCTGGAAAATCTTAGTAGGCATATTTACGAACTGCCTAAGATCGAGATGCATACCAGAACACTGGAATACAGCAAACATAAGTTTCTTTAATAAGAAAGGTAGCAAAGAGGATATAAAAAATTACAGACATATAAGTCTACTACCAATCGTATGCTAGATATTCACAAACATTATCAACAACAGATTAACAAACGCATTTGATGATAGATGATGCACAGCCGAGAGAACAAGCTGGCTTCCCAAGTGGATTCAGTACCATAGATTATATTCATACACTTCGAGAACTAATAAGTAGAGCTAAAAAATATGAAATACCGCTAGCATTAACCTTCATAGATTTCGAGAAAGCTTTCGATTTTATATATCCCAAGGTAGTAATAGAAGCTTTGACCAACCAAGGCACTGACAAACCGTACAAAGAAACTTAAGCAAATATATACAGACAACCAAAAGCGAAGGTAAAAATTTAATAAAACACTCCAGAATTTCCTACTACCAGAGGCGTCCGACAAGGAGCCGCAATATCACCAAAGTTCTTCACTGCAACTGTAGAAAATATTTTCAGCAAAATTAATTGGC